ACATGTACTCATATATATGTATATATATGTGTATATAAGTATACGAGAAGGCACACACGCGAGCGTGCTCACATATACATATATATATATATATATATATATATATATATATATATATATATATATATATTAATATAATATATATATATATACTTACATATGTACATGCACGCACACACACACATATTTACATATACATTTGTGTGAGTATGAGTATCCATGTAACACAACATCAGCGTATTCATGTCTACATTCATAGGAGAACCGCATGCCTCGCAGATGCTGGTCGTCCTCGAATTCATGTTCAAGGTTTGATGTTATTAAAAAGTACGATGGGAAATAATCCCCATCAAAAACATTTTACGTATAATAAGACATTTTGCAGAATCTATCGAAAAAGCCGTATTATTCTACATCATTGTAATTAAAAGCAATTCATAATTTACTTCAGCTGAATGTCTTAGTTCATTAAAAATACCTTTGATTTCATACGTGACAAATAAGTGTCTACTAGCAGTTACCAATAAACAAAAGGGAAAGAAAATACAATGAGTAAGTGATTTTTTTTTCTTTTTAATAAAAAGATAAAACGTGTCAGTTATATTCATTGTACTTGCATACATATTTATGTGTGTATGGGTGTGTATTTTTACTATACATCTAAAATCAAAACGCTATCTACAAAGATTTCTGGGTGTCATAAGGGCAGTCAGAACCCTGGACTGTCTTCGTGAAACGAGAGACGTCGACGCCGATCTCCTTAAAGGCGGCCTCGCAGCGTCTCAGGTATTGGTCAGAAAGGCTTGGCGAGCGGGAGAAGATGAAGGAGAAGTCGGAGTAGTATCCGAAGTTGTATTCGGTGCAGGAGTAGATGCACGAGAAGTTCTCGTAATCCGTGTCGAGGATGACATAGGGAGCGATCCAAGCTAGAAAAGGGAAGGAAGATATAGTTAGTATCAAGACAAAGAATTGATAATGACATTCCGATATTTGTTCAATAAATGCACAAAAAAGAAATCCTTTTTTAATACTCACATCCTTCGTAGTCGACGGAGAGGTGAGGGTCTCCAAGAGGCATGGGGAGAATCTGGCCGTTGCGCTTCATGAGGTTACCGTCAGCGTTGATGCCAGTAGACTTGGCGATGAATTTGTTTCCATCTGTAAGTTAGTAACAGGTAATTATTATTATTAGATAAGTTAAAATGAGTAAATAACAGATTACATATCATCAAGTGCCCACATAATCAACATTGGAAGTGCCTGCTTAATGAAAATCCATCTTACCAAAGGAATATTCGTTGCGGACGCACTGCTTGAGGAGTTGGTATGGGTTGTTTGTGAGGGCAATTTCATACCAAACACCAGCATACTGAAATAGGAAACAGTCACTGTATTTTTGAAACTAAATATATCTGTAAATATCGCATTAGTATATTACATATGAATAACCAGTTGCATAACGGCATCATTTAGGAATTTAAACATACCTTAGAATGATTGGGAATCTGTTCGTCGAAGAGTGATTTCTCGTCCACAACAGGACATCTTCCTGGAACGACGAAGTCGGGATCTTGTCAGCAGCGACGGCTGCTACAAAGGCAAGGAAGAACAGAGATGTATTCATGGTGATCACAATCAGTGGATGCAACTTGTGCCACAACAAGAGAGGCTGCTGCCTTATATAATCCGACCCTGGTTGCAGCTCCGACGATGAGGTTTCAAGGTGTTTCCAGATTGTTTGCTAGCAGTGTGAACTGACGCAAAAACAAACATGTTAACTTATTTCATTTATCAGCAATACCGTCTTGTGGAAGCAGTGTGAATTCGTAGAGAAAGAAATGTAAATAGTACAACAGGAATATAACGAATATAAGTCGAAATGACAACAGAGGTGAACGACCATAGCTCCGCCCATCGAAAACGGGATATAAGAGCGCCAGGTATTCTTGTATGGAGCACAACTGAGAAATCATGTTTACCACACTCGTCGCTGCTGCCCTCGTGGCCCTTGTCTCTGCTGACGGCATTCCAGACTTCGTTGTTCCTGGAAGATGCGCTAAAGTGGCCAACCAAGACAAGTTCGATCTTCGCAGGGTAAATACATGTAGTCTTCTGCATGTTATAGTTAATGTTGGTCTTAATATTATCATAATCTGAATGAATTGTGCACATGTTCCAACCTTGTTTCTTTTTTCCCCAACAGTACTCCGGCCGCTGGTATCAGACCCAGATCATCGACAACGCCTATCAGCCATACACTCGCTGCATCCACTCCAACTACGACTACTCTGACTCTGACTACGGCTTTAAGGTGACCACAGCTGGATTCAGCCCCAACAACGAGTACCTCAGACTGCAGGGCAAGATCTACCCCACAAAGGACTTCCCTGCTGCCCACATGCTCATCGATTTTCCTACCGGTACGTGTGGAACACTTATCCTTGCGGGTATGTTAATGTTTTGTGGAATCCAATGCTATATTACTAATATGTGTAGCTAACTCCACCTAACGATTTTTCTTTCATCGACAGTTTTCGCCGCTCCCTATGAAGTGATCGAGACTGACTACGACAGCTACTCGTGCGTGTATTCCTGCATCGACTGGAACGGCTACAAGTCCGAGTTCGGCTTCGTCTTCTCCCGCACCCCACAGACTTCCGGTCCAGCGAACGACAAGTGCGCCTCCGTCTTCCGCAAGAACGGAGTCGACTTCGCCTTATTCAATGACGTTGCTCATACGGCCGAATGTGTCTACAGAGCTTAGAGTTTACTTCATTATAAATATTTAAAACAATATTTTCATATAAGTATATGTTATTATGCAAATTGTGTGTGTATGCGTGTGTTTCCAATAAAGTCTTATATCAAATGTAACTACAGACTTTCCTTATCTCTTTAGCTACTTCTGAAGTATGGAACACCTTAACTGTGAACTTCATTAGTCATGCTTAATAATAGATGATAACATAATTCAGCATAAAGGACAATTGAAAAAATACACAGACATTTGTCATGCAGAAGCTGAAAGCAAAGCAACGTCCTAATCGAAGATATTTTTCATGACATCTACAACAGACTCTACAAAGAGACTGCCTAATAACTACAAAAAATGATCATTCAAATGAATTGTCAATAATTGTCCATATAATGACAATAAAACTTTTGAACGTTCTTCAACTGTACCGCACAAAACTGAAATAAGAAATGATTTAACTTTTACACTGTCACAAGATTTTCTATAAACTGCAAAGGCTTGTAAGTTCAATATGAAAATGGGATGTAATGCCAGCAGTTGTTGTCTATTTAATAATACATCTCATAATACGAAAAATAATAATAAATTCACGTTCTACACATTCACACATATATGCATATTTATGTTAATATGTGTGTGCACACTCACACATATATACATATATGCATATACACATATACATATAAATAAATAAATATAAATACATACACACACACACACACACAGACACAACACACACACACACACACACACACACACACACACACATATATATATATATATATATATATATATATATATATATATATATATATATATATATATATATATATATATATATATATATTCACACGCCCAAGCATACATGTTTCAACTAATGCAAGCATGTGTTTAATGCAAACCGATTTTTTGTATCTTAAATGTTGCATTACTTAAAGTCCGAAATCTAGAAGAATATCCTCGTGTGTTCCTCGATTGCCCACGCTTGTACAAGCACATTTTCAGGCGAGTACAAAGTGCGTGTATGTATATATATTTGTAAATACTTATAAATATATATGCATATATATATATATATATATATATATATATATATATATATATATATATATATATATATATATATATATATATATATATATATATATATATACATATATTCATATATATATGTACACACATTTATATGTGCGTGTGTGAGTCCATATATATATATATATATATTATATATATATATATATATATATATATATATATATATATTATATATGTATATATATTTGTATATAAGTATACATATACATATATGTTATATGTATATATATATATATTATATACATGTATATCTATCTATCTATCTATCTATCTATCTATCTATCTATCTATCTATCTATATATATATATATATATATCTATATATATATATATATATGTACATTATACATGTAAACACACACACACACACACACACACACACACACACACACACACACATATATTTGTATGCGCGAGTACACACACATACATATACTCATATATATGTATATATATGTGTATATAAGTATACGAGAAGGCACACACGCGAGCGTGCTCACATATACATACTTATATATATATATATATATATATATATATATATATATATATATATATATATATATATATATATATATATATATATATATATATACTTACATATGTACATGCACACACACACACACATATTTACATATACATTTGCGTGAGTATGAGTATCCATGTAACACAAGATCAGCGTATTCATGTCTACATACATAGGAGAACCGCATGCCTCGCAGATGCTGGTCGTCCTCGAATTCATGTTCAAGGTTTGATGTTATTAAAAAGTACAAGATGGGAAATAATCCCCATCAAAAACATTTTGTGTATAATAGGACATTTTGCAGAGTCTATCGAAAAAGCCGAATTTCGCATCCTTGTAATTAAGACCAATTCATAATTATCTTCCGCTGAATGTCTTAGTTAATTAAAAATGCCTTCGATTTCATACGTGACAAATAAGTGTCTACTAGCAGTTACCAATAAACAAAAGGGAAAGAAAATGCAATTAAATGATATTTCTTTTTATATAAAAAGATAAATCGTGTCAAAGTTATATTCATTGTACTTGCATACATACATATACGTGTGTGTATGTGTATTTATTAATATATATATCTAAAATTAAAGGTCTATCTACAAAGATTTCTGAGTGTCATAAGGGCAGTCAGAACCCTGGACTGTCTTCGTGAAACGAGAGACGTCGACGCCGATCCTTAAAGGCGGCCTCGCAGCGTCTCAGGTATTGGTCAGAAAGGCTTGGCGAGCGGAGAAGATGAAGAGAAGTCGGAGTAGTATCCGAAGTTGTATTCGGTGCAGGAGAGTAGATGCACGAGAAGTTCTCGTAATCCGTGTCGAGGATGACATAGGGAGCGATCCAAGCTAGAAAAGGGAAGGAAGATATAGTTAGTATCAAGACAAAGAATTGATAATGACATTCCGATATTTGTTCAATAAATGCACAAAAAAGAAATCCTTTTTCAATACTCACATCCTTCGTAGTCGACGGAGAGGTGAGGGTCTCCAAGAGGCATGGGGAGAATCTGGCCGTTGCGCTTCATGAGGTTACCGTCAGCGTTGATGCCAGTAGACTTGGCGATGAATTTGTTTCCATCTGTAAGTTAGTAACAGGTAATTATTATTATTAGATAAGTTAAAATGAGTAAATAACAGATTACATATCCTCAAGTGCCCACATAATCAACATTGGAAGTGCCTGCTTAATGAAAATCCATCTTACCAAAGGAATATTCGTTGCGGACGCACTGCTTGAGGAGTTGGTATGGGTTGTTTGTGAGGGCAATTTCGTACCAAACACCAGCATACTGAAATAGGAAACAATCCCTGTATTTTTGAAAACTAAATATATCTGTAAATATCGCATTAGTATATTACATATGAATAACCAGTTGCATAACGGCATCATTTAGGAATTTAAACATACCTTAGAATGATTGGGAATCTGTTCGTCGAAGAGTGATTTCTCGTCCACAACAGGACATCTTCCTGGAACGACGAAGTCGGGGATCTTGTCAGCAGCGACGGCTGCTACAACAGCAAGGAAGAACAGAGATGTATTCATGGTGATCACAATCAGTGGATGCAACTTGTGCCGCAACAGAGAGGCTGCTGCCTTATATAATCCGACCCTGGTTGCAGCTCCGCGATGAGGTTTCAAGGTGTTTCCAGATTGTTTGCTAGCAGTGTGAACTGACGCAAAAACAAACATGTTAACTTATTTCATTTATCAGCAATACCGTCTTGTGGAAGCAGTGTGAATTCGTAGAGAAAGAAATGTAAATAGTACAACAGGAATATAACGAATATAAGTCGAAATGACAACAGAGGTGAACGACCATAGCTCCGCCCATCGAAAACGGGATATAAGCGCCAGGTATTCTTGTATGGAGCACAACTGAGAAATCATGTTTACCACACTCGTCGCTGCTGCCCTCGTGGCTCTTGTCTCTGCTGACGGCATTCCAGACTTCGTTGTTCCTGGAAGATGCGCTAAAGTGGCTAACCAGGACAAGTTCGATCTTCGCAGGGTAAATACATGTAGTTTTCTGCATGTTATAGTTAATGTTGGTCTTAATATCATAATCTGAATGAATTTGCACATGTTCCAACCTTGTTTCTTTTTCCCCAACAGTACTCCGGCCGCTGGTATCAGACCAGATCATCGACAACGCCTATCAGCCATACACTCGCTGCATCCACTCAACTACGACTACTCTGACTCTGACTACGGCTTTAAGGTGACCACAGCTGGATTCAGCCCCAACAACGAGTACCTCAGACTGCAGGGCAAGATCTACCCACAAAGGACTTCCCAGCTGCCCACATGCTCATCGATTTCCCTACCGGTACGTGTGAAAATTTATCCTTGCGGGTATGTTGATGTTTTGTGGAATCCAATGCTATATTACTAATATGTGTAGTTAACTCCACCTAACAATTTTTCTTTCATCGACAGTTTTCGCCGCTCCCTATGAAGTGATCGAGACTGACTACGACAGCTACTCGTGCGTGTATTCCTGCATCGACTGGAACGGCTACAAGTCCGAGTTCGGCTTCGTCTTCTCCCGCACCCCACAGACTTCCGGTCCAGCGAACGACAAGTGCGCCTCCGTCTTCCGCAAGAACGGAGTCGACTTCTCCTCGTTCAATGAAGTTGCTCATACGGCCGAATGTGTCTACAGAGCTTAGAGTTTACGATATTTTTATCCATGATTCACATTTGAGTGTATATATGTCCTTTTCTAATAATAATAAAAAAATGTCGAATAATAGTCATAAATATTTAATATATATTTAGATACGCATCGAAATACTTATCGGTGAATGATTTTAAATTCATACGCAATGAAAGATTATAACTTCGAAAAAATAAAACTAATAACATCTGACATGCAGAGTAAGGAAGGTAAAATCAAACAATACCCAAAGATACAATGGCGTTTAATGAAATAAATCTGCTTACAGTCTGCGTAATGAATATCTCTAATAACTGATAATTAATTTGGACTGTTTTATTCTGTATAAAGTCAATAAGACTGTTGTGAGAAATAGGTCATTTTCATTAAATTAGCAAACCGAATCTGTCCAATAAACCTGGAATAAACAGTGATTGCATTTTTATCATATTGCACGTTTTTAAAGATCATAGATACAGATAGATACTGAATAACAGTGTCACCAGAAGGAATAATGTATTCAGTACAATGATTTAAAAACATATAAACTCATATCTGAACATTACCATACATACACATTCATGCGCGCGTGATCGTAAATGCCAGATGAAAATTTTCAGTTGCTGAACTGTTTAACTGATGATATGGATATCCAGGAATAAATGAAGGAAATTCCAAACATTTTTATTTCAATATCCGTTCTCTAAAAGTGTCCAGAATCTGGAGGTGCAATCCAAAGATTCACACATATATTCTCGCACAAACGTACTTTTACGTGTTTGTGTGTGTTGCAAATATATATATATATATATATATATATATATATATTATATTATATTATATATATATATATATATATATATTTATATATACACACATATAAAAGACATGCAAATAAATACATAGATAAATACACCGACAGATAGACATTTCTTTGTGTGTTATGCATGTAATACAGGCTCTCTTTGATTGTACATCCACAGAGAGGAGAACTGGATGCTTTATAGTTACAGATCATACTTAAATCTTTATCATATTATTATATTATCATTACTTTTATTTAATAGATGTGAAAAAATATTGATACGTTGTATTCTGTGTATCTGCTATTTTGACAAATCTTCATTTTCTTTCCATTTACTCTAGTGTTATACGTATTGAATATATTAATTATTTCATACATTATAAGGAAATGGTTATTAACCAATTCAAAATGGAAAGGAAAATATCATGCATATCTATAAATATATATATATATATATATATATATATATATATATAGAAAGATAGATAGATAGATAGATAGATATATCGATGTCAAAATTAAAGTATTTCCACTGTACTTACATATTCATATACAGCTACACAGAAAAAAAAATATCGTTAGAAATCATGCTAAACATTCTGACACAAACGATAATTTTTTAAATATAGTTGTTAACACTACAAAACTACTGATATCCCTGATTTCCAACTAATTTTGGGTATGCGTGGCTTATTTGTATATTGCAAAGCATATTCCATCCTTATAAATAAATCTCACAGTGAATCCCTATGAATTCCGGAATGACTATACGAGACATGAATTAGAACGAGAAATTCGAACCTGAGAAATTCGAAACCTAATATACCAACGTTTGTTCGATACTGAATGTTTCGACACCCCTTCTAACGATAGTTTCCCGTGTAGCTGTACACGTACATGTATTTGAATATGAATGTATATATTGAACATTAAAACGATTTTTAAAGTCAGAACCCTGGATTGTCTTCGTGAAACGAGAGACGTCGACGCCGATCTCTTTAAAGGCGGCTCGCAGCGTCTCAGGTATTGGTCAGAAAGGCTTGGCGAGCGGAGAAGATGAAGGCGAAGTCGGCGTAGTATCCGAAGTTGAATTCGGTGCAGGAGTAGATGCACGAGAAGTTCTCGTAATCCGTGTCGAGGATGACATAGGGAGCGATCCGGGCTTGGAAATGAAAATCAGGGACCGTTAATATTAGAATAAGATGTGCATGATGATATTCTGTTATCTGTTCATGAAATGCGTAATGCAAGGACTCGTATTGACATTTCAACAGTGATGCAATAAATGTTTAGAACAGAGAATATACTTTGACATTCCTCGTAGTCGATGGAGAAATAGGGTCTCCAAGAGGCATAGGGAGAATCTGGCCGTTGCGCCTCATCAGGTTACCGTCAGCGTTGATGCCAGTTGACTTGGCGATGAATTTATCTGCATCTATGAATAAATTCACAGAGAATCATTATCTGATCCAGTGAATGACCTAGTAATATATATTAATGAAGTCAGGATGCATTTCAAAATAAGAAGTGGCCACTGAATATGAACTCATCATACCAAAAGAATATTCGTTGCGGACGCACTGCTTGAGAAATTGGTATGAGTTGTTTGTGAGGGCCTGAAGCAAAAAAAAAAAAAAAGAAAAAAAAAAAAAATCACTGTATTTCTATATTTCATGTATTTATAGATATCGCATTACTAAATTGATTAAATATATCAGTTGTATAACTGCATAATGGATAAATTCTTAGTAATGTTAACCGTTAGGATGATAAGGAATAATTTCTCGCCCCCCACAGGACAGCCAAGAACGATCTTGTCTGCAGCGACGGATGAATTCATGACACTTCATGCAACTTCTGCCGTAACGAGAGCGGCTTCTGCCTTATATAATCCAGCCAGGTTGCAGTTCCGGAAGTTACAAGCTGTTTCCAGATAACATTGCGAATTGATACAAAACGACATTGTTATTACTTTTCATTTTAATTGCACATTTTTATACTGCCGATTGAATGTATAAAAAGTCGAAACTGATATGAGCAGATCACCAAAACTGTATATGTATGTATACTATATATATTATATATATATATATAATATATATATATATAATATATATATATTATATATAATACGTAATTATACATATACGTATACGTATATTACACACACACACACACACACACACACACACACACACACACACACACACACACACACACACATATATATATATATATGTATATATGCGTGTGTGTGTGTGTGTGTGTAGATAGATATAAATATATATGTGTAAGTGTATGCGCGTGCGCGCGCATGTATATGTATGTATGTATATATATTATATATATATATATATATATATATATATATATATATATATGTATGTGTGTGTGTGTGTGTGTGTGTGTGTGTGTGTGTGTGTGTGTGTGTGTGTGTGTGTGTGTGTGTGTGCACACGCACGTACATTACATGTATATATATATTATACATTATATATATATATATATATACATACATTTATACATATATGTTTATAATATATATGTATATGTATATATATATAATAATGATATATATATATTATAAAATATACACCAAACACACACACATTATGTTTATATACCCAAGCACACACGCGCGTCCATACACAAACACACAAACACGCAACACACAACATACATATACATATAACATATATATACTATATGTATATGTATCTATATTTATATAGTAATATCACATTCATTCACACACACACACATATGTGTGTGTGTGTGTGTGTGTATGTGTAGGTATCCATGTACCACAAGATTCATGACTATGTAAATAGGAGAGTTGAATGCCTCGCAAAAACTGGTCGAATTCATTTCAAGATTTAATGTTATTAATAAGTAGAGAATGGGAAATGATCACGATCAGCTGCATTTTACGTCCGAGGCATTTTACCTAATTTATCCATAAAACCAAGTAATTCAACTTTAATGTAATGAAGAGCAATTCATGATCATTTTCTTCTGCTAAATGTCATATAGAGGTAATTGAAAAAGCCCTAAATGTAAATACCATATTTAGGGTATTAGAAAATACCATGAATACGTGATATTTTATATAAAAAAGATAAATCGATGTAAAAATTGTTGTCACTGCACTTGCATACATATATGTGCATATAAGGGTATATTTGTATAATTAACATACATCTAAAATCATCGTGCTATCTACAAAGATTTCTGGGTGTCATATGGGCAGTTAGAACCTGGACTGTCTTCGCGAAACGAGAGACGTCGACGCCGATGTCCTTAAAGGCGGCCTCGCAGCGTCTCAGGTATTGGTCAGAAAGGCTTGGCGAGCGGGAGAAGATGAAGGCGAAGTCGGAGTAGTATCCGAAGTTGAATTCGACGCAGGAGTAGATGCACGAGAAGTTCTCGTAATCCGTGTCGAGGATGACATAGGGAGCGGTAAAAGCTGCAGAAATAATGAGGAAATATTTGTAATGAATAGATCAGTTAAAAACAGAAACATTAGCCAATCAAGTACGATATTAGATAAAAACAATAAACTACACAAATAGCTGATAACATCAACACACACAAGAAAAGTAGAATATAGATAACTCATTTTCCACTATTTTCCTTTAACAACTTAAAGAAGGTATCCCTTGAATACTCACATCCTTCGTAGTCGATGGAGAGATGAGGGTCTCCAAGAGGCATGGGAAACCTGGCCGTTGTGCCTCATCAGGTTACCGTCAGCGTTGATGCCAGTAGACTTGGCGATGAATTTGCTTCCATCTGTAAATTAGTAACAGGTAATCATTGCTCGAAATAAAAGATCCTCTGATAACAGATTCATGAAATCAGGATATATATGAACATTTATAGATTACAGGGTATACATGAGAAGTGTCCACTAAATGGAAATCCATCTTACCAAAGGAATATTCGTTGCGGACGCACTGCTTGAGGAGTTGGTATGGGTTGTTTGTGAGGGCAATTTCATACCAGACGCCAGCATACTGAAATGAAGAGTGATGATATTACCCAAAACTTTAAATATGTATATATGTAAAATAGATAATGGACCCGTTGGTTTATATATTCTAACTCTAACCAGAAACTTATTTCTAGGTTTTTCACATGTGAATATGTACCTCAGCCACATTTAAATAAGTCAACAGTTAATGACATAAAAGCATTTAAAGTGATTTATTATCAATAAACGTAGAATCAGTTCACAAAAAAATAATCAAAGACACCAAAGGAAGAGACAGAACGGAACGGTGAGCGTGTGTGCATGTGTGTGTGTGTGAGAGAGAGTGAGGGGGGGGAGGAAGAAAGAGAAAGAGGGGGAAGAGACAAGGAGAGGAAAAGGAATAGTGACAACGAAGGTAAGAGAAAGATAGATTGAGAGAAAGAAGGAAGGAGAGAAATTGACAGTGAGAGTGGGGGTGGAGGAAAGAAAGACGATAAAACAGCGAGAAGAAAGGAAAGACGTAATGTGGTCGTGATGGAAATAAAAGTGACAAAAAGAAGAGAGAGGTGGAGAGGAAAGAGAATTTATAAACAAAGCAAATAATCTGGTGACATAATACAAACAACACATTGCATTCAACAAACCTTCGAATGGTTAGGTATTTGTTGTTCGAAGAGAGCTTTCTCGTTTACA